AGACAAATAAAAGAAAAGAGAAAATTTCATAGAAAAAGTAAGAATTTATGAAGTTTTATTAAAAATTTCATAGAAAAAGTAAGAATTTATGAAGTTTTATTAACTGTGTATAAGCTGCAAGTACATAGAACCCATAATGTAAGTTAAAAACACAAAGAGAACAAGAAAAGAAACAAAAAAGGGAGGATTTTAAGGAAAAGAAGAAAAAATTATTAAAAAAAGTCATTTTAAATTTAACAATGAAAAGATATAATCTAGTAATCAGCTCAAACGATTATAGCCGCAAACCTAGTGCTTTCTAATATTACATTATAATATTACAAAAAAATATATATATATATATCAACAAAGTAGCATTAAAAAAAAAAAAAAAAAAAGGCAGAGTAAGATGCTGATTCACAAACAAAATTTATATATATATATAGATATATATATACACACATTTATATAAATGTACAAAATATGTTTAATTACCACTAGCCTACTTATTTAAAGAACTTTTAAATAGTGAGAAGAAATAAAGAGAATTGCATGAAGGTAAAAAAACTTATTAATTTTTAAAACAAAGATACATAGCATGTTTTAAATGTGAATCAAACTGATATTCAGTCGGTTGCAAACTAAAACTGAAAAGTTTAAGTTGGCATCCCCTGTAAGCTGCATTTGCAACTACGATGCATTTAAGGAAACTTCCTAAATTTTACAGATTTTAATCTGCAATCTAAATAGTTATACTTGAAATATTACGTTTCTTCCAATTATACATATATGTATCAGTTTCTTAAATAAAATAGAAAATTGTGGTCGACGAATATCTTATTACAAGTTACAGTTTTGTAAACCTTTTCATTTTTTTCACAAACTAATGCATTCCTCTCACAGTTAGTTGCAATAGGGTAATTTCACAATATAAAAATATCAGATTTGAAGTTTTTAAAACCATACAGCCCAGTTTAGAAAAAAAAGCAGTTCTAGAAATTTTTGCTAAATCAATTCTTAGCGTCATTTATATTTACTCCAATCTATAGTATCTTTCATAAGTTAAAATTTTTAAAAAAACAAAACAAAAACCAGACTTTACAATATGTTAAAACTGTAATAACCATGTTTTAACTTGCTTAATTTTTTTTTAAATTTCAAAAGGTTAATAAATATTATTAGAACTGCTTGATTTTATTAAACTAAGTTAAAATTTTATACATCTGAAGATTGCAAAGATATAAATGATGGTATTGCTTTATATTAACATTCATATATAGTGCTATACTAATATGCTTCATGGAAGGAATGATAACTATGTCCCATCCATTAAGCATAATACTAAAGGTTGAAACATGGGAAATGTAAAATAACATTTATAATGATGCTATGAGAATAATTAAATAAAGTAACATCATTATTAAGTGACATTCAATTTTTGTAACTACTTATTAAAATTAAGACCTCTGGAAAACCTGTAATAAAGCTTTTAATGGAATTCATTTAAATATAAAATACATTTTCAGATATCCCATCAAAATTTTAAATCTCACCAAGAGCGAGTTCGGCAATCATAAAGGTCTGGCTTTTCCCTGCCTTCTTTGACCCAAGTAGTGGCTGTAAAAAGGAAGAAAAACTTTTGAAAGTGAAGATAGCTTAAAAATAATAACAATAATTAATTGCTTAACAAAATAGAAAAATGTATGATTTTTTTAATTTTATATCACAGAGACTGGAATTGAAATAAAGATAAATTGAAACAGTATTACTCAAAAACTAGTTAGTTAATCTAAAGCACTTGTTATATTTGAGTACAATTAATTTAAAATAATTTGTATAAAAGAAACACAAAAAAATTAGATAATTTAAAAAACATGAAGTGACATTATTAGATATAAGTTATCAGAGACTAATATGGTCAATTTTACTAGTTTACTATTTCCATTTTTAAACTAGGAATACATCAATTATAACTATAGTTAAATGCTTCTGCACTTAAAAAAAAGTATCCAACAAAATAATTTGTCATGGTCTTCTGAATTGATGACAGTTGCAGTTTCAGCATTTATTTAATCAACAATAGCTAATTGCAGCTATTTTTTAATGCAAAATCAATATAATATGATAGTAGTAAAATATTTAGGGACAATTTTAGGGGAAATTTACTTTTTAATCACATATACACACACAAATGAAAAAAAAAAAAATTAATACCAATAAGAGAAGGTTAGGTTTAAAAATGATTTTTAAGATCCTTAAAGCTTTAAAAGAAATCCAAAAAACATGCAAGTTTTAAAGTAGTATAGCTGAAGTGGTATAAAAATTGCGGCTAAAATGATATAGCTGAGTTTATTAGCTTATTACTTAAAAACGATGTTCCGATACATGCTCAAATACTATTATTTTAATAAATTTTTATAGCAGAAAAATGTAAAAATATGTCAAACGCTTGTGGAAATATTTAACTTATGAACTTTAAATAAAAAATTATTAATTTAATAATAATAATAATAAAAGATAGTGAAGTAAAACTTCTTAAATTATATTTGTATTACAATATATAGAGGACATTCATTATTCATATATTGGATATTCGCAANATTTGAAGATTATTGAAAGTTAAATTATAGTAGAGTACAGGTAGCTTAGTTTAAAAGATTTTAAATTCAAAAGTACCAGTAACATACCATTACAATTGGTAGCAAAATTTTTTGAGTAAGTTCAATTGGTAAATAAATACAATATGACAACAGTCTTTACTATAACAAGAATAAGCTAATTGAAAGTCAAAAGACGTTTAATTAAAGTCATTTAATTAAAGTAGTGGTTATGTAAAAACTAAGGATGTAATGAATAGTGATTTGGCCAAATACCGAATATTCGGCGCCAAAATAACAACCTTTTTTAAAATTATTAATAAATGCCAGTTTTTATAAATAAATAAGTTTAGTCCTTATTGAAAAATAATCAATATTTAGCTGTATTATTAGTATGAGGTAAAGGAAAAAAAACTTCAATAAAAATGCTTAGGGTAATAAAGATAATCAGATATTAAAATAATTAAAAACATTTAAGATAAAAAAAAACTCTCTAACAGCTATTAAAAAAACTAAAGTTGCAAAGTTGAAAAAAAAAATAGAAAAAAAAATATTGTCTTCATTTTTAAAACAAAATTTTAATGCTAAAAATAATATTTTCCAGAAAAAATTATCTGTAATACGTTGAAAGAGAAAAAAACTTTATCGGAAACATTTTTAAAAAAGTACCAGTATCATAAAAACGCCCATATAAAAAAAGGTTATAGAAAAAAGCAAAACCGAAAAAATAAAATTCGATGATTTCTCAAAGAAAATCGATGACTTTTTGAAAGAAAATTTTAAAGCTAAGCATCTCAGTTTTCCAATTACCTTATTTTCAAGAAAAAATGAAGTTTAAAGACTAATAGAAATACTCTTAATTGTCGTGCCATAATAAAAACAAAAATATTTTTGAAAAAGCTAGATAGAAGCCAAAACAAAAATTGTTCTAATTTTTAAATGAAAGTTAAGATTTAATACTAAAAAATCTCAATTCAACTTTTTTGCAAAAAAGTGACCATAAAAGAATAACGTTCATTAGAGATGCTCTTTAAAAAATGACGATAAAAATGAAAGTTAGCAAAAGAGAGGCAGAAATGTTTTTTCTTCCTAATTCTGAAATATAACTTTAACGTTGAGAATAACAGTTTTCCATGTCATTGGTTATCAGTCTTATTGTACAGGAAAAATGTGACAATAAAAGAATTAAGTCGATTGGAAATGCAGTGTTAATACAGAAAAAAAGACGAAAATGAAAAAATAAGAAAAAGTTCTCAATTTTTAAGACACAAAATGTTGAAAACACGACAAAACTGATTTGCCTGAATGTAAATATTAAAAAAAAAAAAAAAAAAATCAGCATTACAAAACTCATGTTTCAGTATAAAGTAATCTAGTTATGATTCTTCACATTTCGCTTTTCCGTTTGTCTTTCAAAACATATACTAACTAATTAACTTAATTAGAACTTACAAACACGCGTAAAAATATCTTCTAATAATGCATAGTAAAAAATACGATTTCAGATAATCCTTTATTAAATCTATTCAAATAACCCTTCCTCTAAAGAAAAAAAAAACAACACTTTGTTGAAAAATAATTTTCCAGATAATACTTTGCCGAATATTTGGCAAAGTATTCGGCTAACCGAATATTATGCAAAAGGACCGAATTTGTCCCATATTCGTTAATTACATCCTTAGTAAAAACTAAAACCAAAGGAAGATAAAAGAAATGACAGTAAGCTGGGAGAAAGCTTTGTGCCAATGAGGATAGTTTAGCAAAATGACATTCCAGTCACAAAAATTGTTTGAAAATAAATAGCCTTTCAATGGTGGACAGGCAGTAAAATCTATTTATATCTAAGAAATAAAAATTATTATTAATGATATTTACTTCTTTAATGCAAGTTGCATGTTTTTTTTTTATAATTAGTTACATGTAAAATAAAGTAGAGATGACTTCAATATCATGTGTAGAAAAAACAACAGCATTTATTTAAAAAACTTCAGTTAAAAAATGCGGAATGTTTACATTACCTTTATCATAAACATTTGTAGGTACATGAACAGAGCTATGTTTGAAATTTACAGGAGCATTAGCAAAATTTCGGTGCGGTTTCATATCTAGATCTCTAATACTCTTTTTGGGCTTTCTTTTAGTTACTACATCATTAGAATCAATTTCATTATTTTCTACTTCAACCTCTTTCTCTTCCATTCGAGCATTATAATATTCATGCTGAAATGACAAAAATTTATTTTATTGTATATGGTTTGTTTTTTATTTAACAAACTTAAGAAAGCATCATTAAACAGAATGTGTGGAAAAACAATATTTGAACCCTTCATAAATGCTGTGTTTAGCTCTCTAATTTGATTTCTTTTTTTCTTCTTAAATTTTATCAAACTAATCACATATGTTAACAGGAAAATAAAGTAAAAATATCAGGAAAATAAAGTCAAATTAAAAAAAAAAAAATCTTAAATCAAAATTCCCTCAAACACGGCAATCAGCTGCTAAAAATTAACTTGTAAATCTCAAAACATTCAGAGAACAAGCTTTGCAAAGGCCGATAAAAGATAGGAGGGTAATTTTTTTTTTACTGCGAAAGAGAGACATTTCTAAGTCGAAATAAAAGTTTGTTAAAAGAGATATATGCTTGATAAATATCATCCTTAAATAGAATTTAATGTTAAATAAAGCAACACTTTTTTTAAATGTAGAACAACAATGTTTAAATAATATTAATGAAAATAAAAAGAGATAGAAACATTTAAGAAACATACAATAAATGTTTTAAAATAAAACAAAGAAGCTTTTTCATTTCAGGAAGCACAAATAAAGATTTATCTATTAAAATATCCATAAGCATCATAATACATACGACAATGCAAAAAATATTTTTTATTTAACATTTTTGTTCTATAATTTCAATTAAATATATATATTTTTTTTAAAGTTAAAATCATTCTAATTTTTCTAAAAGCTTTTAAAATGATAAAAAAAAATACTTAGCAGTTTTAATGCTTAAAATGCCATAAAAGGGAGTTTAAAATTTTTTAATAAATTCAAATTGGTCTTTTAAAAGTATATAGGAGATAAAATAATGGTAAGTCCGCTGAAAATTAACATTTAAACTTTATAATCAGTTTTTATTTTATTTAAAGTTAGTGAACACTAACTTCTTAACATGTTTTTTTTTCATAAAGTTTTCAAAGAATTTATAATAATGTGCTTAAGTTTGAAACAAGATACAAAGAAGCCTAATCCAAGAATCTAAAACCAAAGTGACTGGGGAAATAAACTTGAGAAGATCCTTATTTTCTTTTAAAAAAAGTTTTTAGAATCAGAAAATACTTTTTTAATTTCAATTAAATAATTTTTTTTAAATGTAAAATCATTCTAATTTCTCTAAAAGCTTTTAAAATGATAAATTAATGCTTAAAATGCCATAAAAGGGAGTTCAAAATTTTTTAATAAATTTAAATTGGTCATTTAAAAGTATATAGGAGATAAAATAATGGTAAGTCAGCTGAAAATTAACATTTAAACTTTATAATCAGTTTTTATTTTATTTAAAGTTAGTGAACACTAACTTCTTAACATTTTTTTTTTTTATAAGTTTTTCAATGAATTTATAATAATGTGCTTAAGTTTAAAACAAGAAACAAGAAAGAAGCCTAATAAACATTCGAAATAATCATGGAACAATAATGAAAAATGTAACTATTACTAACTTTAACATTTTCACCAAATTGATATCCAGCAGCTGCATGTTCTGCCACTTCTGCAATTCGCTGAGAAAGGGAAAAAAAATCCACATAAGGCATAAAATATGAATACATACATTTTAAGTTTAATTTTTTTCTGCAAGAAATAAAAGAACAGTAGTACCCGAATTATTCCAGACATTTCTTGATTTGCTACCAAACCTACTTGATAAGTTTGCTAAAGACTCAACAATAATTTTTAACTATATTCTGATTTCCACTCAAAAATTACTGTTCCAATGCTTAATCAGTAATCATTATTCATATAAATTACAATGTTCAAATCATCTAACATCTACAATTTATAAAGCATAAAAATATGAATGGTGATTTAGTATTAAAAAGCAATATTTAATTATACTTATGACTCTTTTTATTATTAGCTTCAGGTATAGCACCTTCATAATAAATCAGAGTTTGTACACTTAGTAAAATGTTATAAACTACAAATTAATTGGTAATTTTGATAATCAAGGTTTTACTACGTCAGTTGGAAAGGTTTAAATAGGAAAGTTGAATGATGTACAGCAATAATAAATATTATATTAGAAAATTACAAACTTGTAAATTTGTTATAAAACGTTTATATTATTGTCTAAGCTATTTGAAATAGCCAATTTAATATTGTACTAATTTAATATAAATAGAACTTTCTTTTTCATGTAACTAAAATAAAGGACATAATATCTTTTCAGGATTGATAGTATTATAATAGCTTACTTTTCCTTTAAAGTGTTAAATTTTCATAAGAAAGTAAAATACTCCAAATTTTACACAAATTTATTCTTAACGATCTAAGTGCATATTAAATACAAGTGAAAAATAATTGTAATTCTGTAAACTGTAAACATATATAAATAAAACAAAATCAGTGGTCAAAAAAGCTATTTTTTTTTTTGTAGTTCCAAGGACTATAGCCAAGGACTACCTCAGCTTTCTTGACTTTGGGCTCTGGGGTGCAGGAGCAGTTGTTCCGGCCAGGTTGTCAGCCAAACGCGGAACCCCCAGTTTTTAGTTCCCAAGCATGCTTGGTACTCATTTATCGACCCACTGAAGGGATGTAAGGCTGAGTCAACTGAGTTGCCTGGACTGAGGATCGAACCCAGGACCTGTGGTGCGGGAGCGCGACCACTCAGCCACCGGGTGTCATGAACTCTGCTAGAGAACTTAATTTTCACCTATACTTATGATGGTTTAGAAAACTAAATTGAACTTACAAGAAAGAACATAACATCAGATCTTTTGACTGTTATCAACTTTTTAAATGTCAACAACTTGATGAAATTCAGAAAAGGATTAGAGACAACAATGAAGTACATAACAATGAAGTACTATGAGAATTCATAGAGTAAA